AATGATTTAAGCAGTGTTATTTCAGTTTAAGTTATTTCTTATTTAAGATGTAAGGATAAGGACATTCTCTGGTATGAAATCCATTGAAGAAAAATATAGGCAGAGACTTGGGACCAAATCCATTAATAATGCAATTAATTGGTTAACTCATAAAAAGCACACCAAATAAAGATAAAATAAATAAAGAAAGGATCATTATTTTAGCGTCCATATTATCGGCTGTTCACACTGTCCAAAAGCAGGGGCGAATTTAGGGAGGCGGACAGGGTCACTCGAACCACCTTCGCCGAAAAATTAGACTATATGTAAGGCAATTTTTTTTTACCTCTATATATTAAGTTTTGAACCCCTTAACACAATCCAAAATGTAGTTTAGTGGTCAAAGGAGTTCAAATTCTCTATAAGGTCATAGATTCAATTCTCATTAGCTACAAAAAGAGTTTTTGAACCCCCTTCGTGGAGGTCCTGCCTCCGCCACTGTCCAAAAGGACAAAATTTATTTATACACAATGTTTATACTAATTCTATAATTAAAATGTGTTATTTACGTATACTCATATCATTAATATTTTTTTTATCTCAATCTTTTCATCTTAAAATAATATATTGTGTAAACATTAAGCGTGTAAATAAATCTCCTTATAGAAAGTACCAAAATTGAAATTGGCTTCCAGCTCCCTACTAACGATGTAGCACATGTTAGTTGTAGAAAATATGGAGTATGCATTAAAAGATTCGGACAGCCCAAGGAACATATCAACCTTTTCGTCTTGGACTTTTCAGTTATGTTTCTTCCATCCATTTTAATAAAGTTTACGTAGTGAAAATTGATATTTTCGTCTTGTCGTTATTATTTTTTGAAGTTGCTATACTATGTAATTTTCCTAATTTATTGCAGCAAGTCTTAAAAGCTTGTCCTGGGAGTACCTTGTTTTGTTCCATTCCAAGAATTCTAACACGATTTTACAGCCTTGTAGGAAGAATTCCATAAATAGCAGATCATTAACCATTTTTTATAATTGCTGTAAAATCTACAATACAGGATTTTGTAATTTAATGTTCGGATGAAATATTGTTAGAGATAACACAGAAAATAGAAATCTTTGGACTTTTTGCAATTGCGGACATCAATGGGAGAAATTCAAAAATAGCCAAATTTATAAGTGGTCATTCAAAAATAGCCATAATTTCAAAAACAATCGAAATTTAGCCACGTTTCATGTAAAGATAAATCTGAATGAAAATACTGTCCGAAAAATACTCCAGCATAATATACTGAAACTCCAGTATATTAAACTGAAATTCCAGTATAATATTTTGGAACTCCAGTATACTCCTGTATAATATACTGAACTTCCAATATAATATTCTAGAGTTCTAGTATAATATACCAATCCAGCATAATATGCTGGAAGTTCATACACAGGTGCTCCAATCTCCAGTATATTATACTGGAACTTTCCGCGTGTTGGAGTTCCAGAATAATATGCTGGAAGTTCATACACAGGTGCTCCAATCTCCAGTATATTATACTGGAACTTTCCGCGTGTTGGAGTTCCAGAATAATATGTTGGAAGTTCATACACAGGTGCACCGATCTCCAGTATATTATACTGGAACTTTCTGTATTGCAGCAAAATAATGGCTATTTTTTAATGACTTTGTAAACGCTGACTATTTTTAAATGACCAGTACGAAAACTGGCTAGCCCATGCTATTTTTACGACATTCACGCATGAGTTGCAAAATCATATGGGCCTGCCGTACTCCAACAAAGTAAACTTTGTCCAGTACCGATAATAGGCCCAATGCTGATTTGGAGATTGCTCCCAACACGAAGTAAAATAATACGGACTAGCCAATATTTGGATTGGTAATTGAAAAATAGCTAACGTTTGAAAAATTATTGAAAATGACTACTATTTTGCTGAAACATGGAAAGTTTCAGCATAATATGCTAGATTATATATGGGGCTCTTGTGTATACACTTTTAGCATATTATGTTGGAACTCCAACGCACAAAAAAGTTCCAGTATAATATGCTGGATTATGAAGCTCCTCCGTATAAACTTCCAGCATATTATATTGGAACTCCAGCATATAATAAAATTTCAGCGTATTATGTTGTAATCTCATATGTAAAAAAATTTGAACTCCAGCATAATTTTTCGAATTTTTAAGGATGTTTTTGTTCAAAATTTATCTTTACATGAAAAAGTACCTAAATTTCGATTACTTTTGAAATTATGGCTATTTTTCAAGTACCAATTGTAAACCTGACTATTTTTTTTTTCAGTATGAATTAATTGCGCGGCTTTAACTAGATATGTATAATATAATATTTGGTTGAAGTTTGAAAATTTGAAATGAAAGTATGAAGACGAAAAAGACTAGTAATCATATCAATCAAGTGATTGCGATGACTCAAGATCGATAAAGAACAGTACATCGTTATAGCAACACTCAGCTTACGTACATTGACAATCACGACTTCAACCTGCATGGATGGTCAAGAATCCACATGTTCTTTTCTCTTGATCACTTATTCACTATATTCTAAACATAAAGAAAAAAAAGGAACAAGAAATATAGACCAATCACGACTAGAATTTTTTCACACAAATAGAATAATTTGGAAAAAGAAAAAAATAATGGTATGAGAAAGTGCCAAAGGACAAAGATATGGTTATTGGATTGAGATTTCAGTTGTTTTGATCAGAGAAGAAACGGTTGATTGAAGGCATGACTTGGGGTGGACGAGTGCGTAGGAACTTGCGAAGGCTGTGTTGTGCATATTTCTCTCCTTCTTCTTCATTTTCAAGTATTGCCATGCTACGATGAGCTTTCTTGATCCTACATTACAATACAATTTTGAACGAAATAATATTTGAAAATTTTGCTGTAAAATTAATAATGACTCAAGACACTGATATGGTGAGATTCAATTTAATTAGTACCTGACATCAGGGTTTAAGAGAACATTTCTTGTCAGTTGAAAAACGCACATTCCAGTAACAAATGTCATGGCCGCCATTAGTGGGTATACCTGCAGCAAATACCAGTATATATATTTATTGTCACAAATGAGTTATGATTGTAATGATACATATTTAGTATTCACTTTTCTGTCATTGTTGAAATCTTCAGTGTTTGAAAATCAAAATAACTTTTTTTTTTTACAAAAAATTACTTAAACTCTCATCATGAATTAAAGGGACAATCTTATAATTATAAGTAGGGGTGTACATAGGCCGGGTTGGTTTGGATTTTTCAATTATCAAACCAAACAAATAGTGTCGGGTTTTTAAATTTATAAACCAAACCAAACCAACAAAGTGGGGTTTTTCAATCTCGGTTTTTTTGGGTTTTTCCCAGTAAAGTCTTCATAGCATAAAATGTGTAACTTGTCCTCCAAATATTTCTTAAGTCCTAATAAAATACAATTATATAATGTGTTTTCCAAGAAATTAAACTAACACAATAACATGAGATAAGTCAGAGCATTATACTAAAATATTCAATAACAAAGATAAAATAATAAAATTACATAAAACAAATATTGATAATTAATAAGTCATAATGAAAATTAACATAATCTAAAAATACTATATAGTTCATGCTAAAATAAGTATAGCTAATAAATACTAATATTAATTACATAAGTAAGCACTAAAGAAAAAGATAAACTAGCTAAGTTATGCATTCTCATTATAAACCAATGTAAAACTAAAATAGTTATCTAACACTATCGTCATTCCTAGTATTGAATTGAATTTCTTTTGTTAGCATTAGTATTGATTTGAACTTTGTTTGAGTTACTACATTTAAGGGCTATAAAATTTATTTACCATTCAAGAATGTTAAGTCTAAACTTCAAATAATACGTTAAAAGATAAAACTGTGAAAAATTTTAAGAAATATTTATAAATTACATTATAATAAATATTTATATGTATAAAATGTTTTTAAAAATTATATAAACATACTATCGGGTGGTTTGGTTCGGTATGACTTTTTTTTGTTAAAACCAAACCAATTATGGTCAGGTTTTATTTTCCAATACCAAACCACATCGGATTTTTTTCCGGTTTGACTCGAATTATCGGTTTGATGCGGTTTATCAGTTTTTTTTGTACACCCCTAATTATAAGTTTGCTAATGACTTGTCTATTCACAGTTAGTGTACCTAATGCTTAATGAGAAACTGACAGAATAAATATAACAATATTTGTGCATATACAATTACTCAATGGACTAAAGTAAAAAAATATAATGCATTCAGTACTGAACTATAGAAGTAATTTAAGCATTACCTCGGGTCTCATCCAACGCCCCATTTGATGTGGTGTATCCTTTTATCAATTGCTTGATGCCGCGACTTATAAAAGAAAGAATAAACCTTTCTTCAATTTTTTGGATAGTATAGTTCAAGATCTGTATGTTGAAGGTAGATGTGGTGTTTTTCTCTTGTATTTCCTTCATTTATATAGCACCCTTAGTCCACGTTATTTTAATTAAGTATACCATTGGGAAATTGGAAAGACATGATATTGGCTGGATTTTGGTTGCTTCCACCAATCCTCATATGACATTTTCAGTGGGCTGATAATAATAAGTTTTCTTTTGGATAGCAATCAAACCAGGTGCTAGTACCTCTTGTTTTTGAGTTGACCTTATTTAGCCATCTAATTTCTTGTTGTACATGCTTCTTTTCTAGTCTTGACGACAATTTTAGGTTTTAAAAATTGTTCAAGTACTTTCACGGTTCTTAAAACTAAAAAGACTGCCGATTACAAAATCAGTTTCAGCGTGAAAAGCAAGCAGATCAATCTTACAATCCATTTGACCTTGAATTGACATTTGACCATGAAAAAGGCAATCATTTCATTGAAATTTAAGAAAATCTATGGCTGCGTCGAAACAAGGGACTTGGTTAATAAGTCAAATACCAACGAATATAACTACACTTATTTCAACAATATTTTTAGTTGGCGTTTTACTTGCCTGGCCCAATTACCTGCCTGCCCAAATCCTCTCTTCATTAATTTACCCCCACCTCTCATTCTCACACACACAAGAGACGGAGGTCTCCATTTTGAAAACCCTAACCCCCATTTCCTTCTTAACCTAGCAACTCTTTCCCCTCCCCATTTCAGAGAACAGGAGGGTCTGAACAAAAACTTAGCCTCCCCATCTCCTTCTTCACCTCTCAATCAGCCGCCCACCTTTCTCTCGCCTCTCCCAGCTAGCTCTCACACACAAACACACTAGCCTTCACGCAAAAACACTCAGCAATTAAAAAAGTAGAGCTGAAAAAATCCAAAAAAAATAAGAATTTCGAACAAAAATCCGAGAAAAAAAGGAGAACAATGGCTTCAACTTCTTTTAGGTTTGGCGTCGATTCTCTGGGTTTGTTGAGGAGTTTCGCTGTTGTTCCTTTTTCTCTGCTGGTAATTGAACTTTACTCTATTTCAGACTTTTGTTTGGTCGTTTCCTGCCGATTTCCTATTGTCAAGTATGTCAGATTCTCATGTAGTCATCTATCAAAATCTATAAAATAAAATCTGAATTGGTTGGTGTTATATATTGATATTTTCTCGATTTTTGACTAAAATTCTGCCATGGATAAAATTGTTATTAGTTCTTAATTGTTTCAAAATTAATCTTGCAAATCGTGTGCTTCTACCGCCACTATCTTGAGTTTTCGATTTAGACAATAATGAATTGTTTGGGCATCTTCAGCTTTATTAAGTTAAATTGGTTTGTCCATTTCTGGTAATTAGCGTTTTAATAAGAGCATGACTGTAACAACCCGACTGGTCGTTTTGCTTTTTAGAACTCTGTTTCCCTAAATAAAACTATCCGTACTTGCTTTAACTGATTTATGACTTGTGGGGATGGTTGGTTCGGGATTTGAAAGAGTTTGGGCTGAAATCGGAACACTTGGTTCCTTAAGGTTGGCTTAAAAGGCCAAGTTTGACTTCGGTTAACATTTTGAGTAAACGACCTCGGAATCCGGATTTGAAGGTTCCAACAGGTTCGTATGATGATTTCGGACTTGGGCGTATATCCGGATCGGGTTTTAGATGACCCGGGAGCGTTTTGGCGCCTAATAGTGAAAGTTGATTCCTTAAGGATTTTAAAGTTCGTAAATATTTGTTTTGGAGCAAGTTTTGGTGATATCGAGGTCCAAACGGAATTCTGAAATCAGGAATAGTTTCGTAATGTCATTTAAGACTTGCACGCAAAATTAGGTGTCAATCCGAGTAGTATAAGTACGTTTCGGCTCGTTGAAAGTAAATTGAAGAACTTGAAGTTCTTAAGTTTGATTCATTGGTTTTGGGTGGCGATTCTTAATTTTTAATATTATTTTGGTGATCCGATCACGCGAGCAAGTTTATACAATGTTATTACACTTGTGTGAGTATTTGGTGTGGAGCTCCGAGGGCTCGGGTGAGTTTCGGACGTGTGTTGGGAGTGAAAACACTCCCTTTTTGGTATTTCTGGGCAAGTGTTGCAGGTCTCGCAAATGCGAGGAATTGTTCGCATTTGCGAGGAAGGCTTCGCAATTGCGAAGAAGCGTGAGCTGGGCATTCGTCGCATTTGCGACATTTTCTTCACATTTGCGAATCTAGCAGAGTCCGCATTTGTGACCCTTTTGTTGCATTTGCGACTCCTCAGGTTCGCATTTGCGATGATTTTGTTGCATTTGTGTAACGACCCTACCGGTCGTTTCGAGAGTTAGAGCCTCGATCCCCTATTAACTACTTTCCCCGTATTTGTTTCTATTATTTTGATTTGTCGGGATGATTTGTTTTAAGTTTCGGAGTGTTTTGGGACACTTAGTCCCTAAATGAGAGTTTGAGTTTTAGAATTTGGACCGTAGTCGGTACGATGTGAAGACGGATTAGAATGGAATTTTATCGATTCCGTTAGCTCCGTTGGGTGATTTAGGGCTTACGGGTGTATTCGGATTGTGCTTTGGAGGTCCGTAGCTTATTTAGGATTGAAATGGCAAAATTTGAATTTTTGAAGTTTCCAGATAGTTAGTGAGAATTTGATATCGGGGTCGGAATTCGATTTCGAAAGTTGGAATAGTTCCGTAGCGTTGAATGTAACTTGTGTGCGAAATTTGGGGGCCATTCAGACATGGTTTGGTTGGTTTCGGCAGCGGTTGTAGAATTCTTGAGATTTCAAGTTCATTATGCTTGAATTGGAGGGTGATTCGTGGTTTTAGCGTTGTTTGATGTGATTTGAGGGTTCGACTGAGTCCGTATGATGTTTTAGGATTGGTTGGTATATTTGGTTGAGGTCCAGGGGGCTTCGAGTGAGTTTTAGATGCTTAACGGAATTGGATTTGGACTTAGGCAAATTTTTTGAACTTGCTGAATCTGTTGGTTTCGCACCTACGGAGCTTGGACCGCAGTGCGGCGCCGCAGAAGTGGGTTGGAAACCGCAGATACGGTCTAAGGCATAAGGGAAGTTGGTCGCAGATGCGGCTCAAGGACCGCAGAAGCGGAACCGCATCTGCGAGGTAAGGAGTGCAGGTGTGGAATATGAGCTGCATGAGCGGGACTGCAGGTGCGATGGTCCCCTCGCAGAAGTGGAAATCGCTGGGGAAAAAAAAGAGAGAAATCGAGCGATTGAATTCATAACTTCTAAAATTGATTTTAAGCTCGGGGAGAAGGCGATTTCTTGAGAGATTTTGAAGGAAAGCTATTAGGTAACAAATTCTATCTCTAATTTGGTTGTAATACATTAGCCTATTGTTTTTTCCCCTCATTTAATCTATTAATTTGAGTGGAAGAATGGGGATTTGGGGGAAAAGTTCCCCAACCAAGTTTTAGGGTTTTGATTAGGTTTCAGTTGTCGGAATTGAGTGATTTTTGGACGAGTGGTCTCGTGAGTGAATGGCTGTCCTAAATTGATAACTTTTACCCGATTCTGAGATGTGGGCCCGAAGAGGATTTTTAAGCATTTTTCTAATTCCTCGCCGTAGCTTTGAATTCATTAGTTAAATTAGTTGCTTGTAGTTTTATGTACGTTATATAATTGATTTGATTAGATTTGCGTCACTCGGAGTTGGATACTCATGGCAAGAGCGTGATATCAGATTGAATTTTGAGCCAGTTCGAGGTAAGTGGCTTGCCTAACCTTGTGTGGGGGAACTTCCCTTAGGATTTTGGTGTTGTTGTTATATGAATGTTATATACGTGAGGTGACCAATGCGTACATGTGCTAACTGTTGAAAACCCTCATTTTCATTAAGTAAATATCTATGTTTTCTTTTAATTGAGAAACACTAGTACATGAAGTCTCCTATTTAGCTTAGGTAAACATGCTTATGTGACTTAACTGTCTTACCTGCTTTAACTGCTTACTTGGATTTTTTGTGTAGCATGTTTAAAGTAGAAATTTCCTATTTTCCTAATACGAACTTGAATAAAATTGTAGGATTCTTTCTTGAGATTGTTGTGTATTTACTTTGGGACTACGAATCGGTATTCCGGGAGATCCCCCTATATGTTTACTTTAGGACTACGGATCGGTATTCCGGGAGATTCCCTTGCACATTTATAATTGGGATTACGGGACGATATCTCGGGAGATCCCCCTATACTAGATAATTACTTTGGGACTACGGATCGGTATCTTGGAAAATTTCCCTACATATTTACGATTCGGACTACGGGACGATATCCCAGGAGATTTTCTGCACATTTACGTTTGGGACTACGGGACACTCCTAGGAGATCCCCTGTTGCTATATCTGTGTATTGAGTTATTTCTTTCTGTGATTTTATCCTTATTGACTGTTAGCATTTAATTATGCTGTCTCATTTCACATTATTTTACCTTGTTATATATATAACCAGTAGGGCCCTAACCTGATCTCGTCACTACTCGGCCGAGGTTAGGCTTGGCACTTATTGGGTACCACTGTGGTGTACTCATGCCCTTTCCTACACATATTTTTCGTGTGCAGATCTAGGTTCTTCTGCTCAGCCATACTATCCGTCAGGCGAGGCGATTGAGAGACTTCAAGGTATATTTGCCGCGTCCGCAGACCTAGAAGTCCCTCTCTATTCTCCCTTCAGTTATAGGCTTTTCCATGTATTTCCTTTGTCATTAGACATATAGAATTAGAAACCTTATGTATTTTTCTGTAGCTTGTAATTTCATGGGATTTCGGGTTTTGGGCAGTGTTATTATTGAGCGACATTTTAAATACTTTATCTATATTTACCAGCTAGATGACTAGTTTGTACTTTTAAATTCCTTTTTACGCAAATTGTTAGGCTTACCTAGTCGTAGAGAATAGGTGTCGTCACGACAGTTCATAGAGAGAGAACTCAGGTCGTTACAAGTTAATATCAGAGCTCTAGGTTCATAGGAGTCATGAATCACAAGCCGGTTTATTAGAGTCTCGCGGATCGGTACGGAGAGGTCTATACTTATCTTCGAGAGACTATATAACTGTTAGAAAAATTCCACTTCATTTGATTTCCTTATCGTGCGAGATTTTTAATATCAAAACTCTAAACCTCTGTCTTTTATTCTCTCACAGATGGTGAGGACATGTGCTACTGGAGATGACCAGGCACTCGCGCCCCCTGCTAGAGCCGCCAGAGGCCGGGGCTAGGGTAGAGGCGTAGGATGCACATATGGTGCAGCTAGAGAACCAGCACGATCTGCTACAGAGGAGCCACCAGCAGCTCTAACCAGAGCCCATGCACCTGATACGCCTACTGCTACTACTACTCCAGCTCTCCAGGAGACCCTTGCACAGTTCGTGAGCATGTACACCATTCTAGCTCAGGTATGGTTGATTCCCCTTGTTGCAGCCACATCTCAGGCCGAGGGAGGAGTACAGAATCCCGCCGCCCACACCCCAGAGCAGCGGGTTCAAGTTGATCAGATCCCAGAGGTTATACCGGTGTCGCATGTAACCCCAGATCAGCCCGAGGATAGGGCAGCAGCTTTAGAGGAGGAGCAGAGGAGGCTTGAGAGGTTCAAGAAGTACAAGCCTCCTACATTCAGTGGTCTAGCATCAGATGATGCTCTGGGATTTCTGGAGGAGTGCTACCGTATCCTCCGCACTATAGGTATATCGGGATCGAGTGGGGGTTTCTTTCACTGCCTTCCAGATTCGAGGAGTAGCCTATCAGTGATGGCATACTTTAAGTTGGATAGTCCAGTTGAGGCAGCTTCTCTTACATGGAACCAGTTTTCAGATATGTTCTTGAGAGAGTATGTTCCTTAGAGCCTCAGGGACGCATGACGCGCCGAATTTGAGCATTTGCGCTAGGGTACTATGACTATTTCGGAGTATGTCGTCCGTTTCACTGACTTGGCTAAGCATGCACTGGTCTTGGTTTCTACAGTTTGTGAGAGAGCTCGCCGGTTAATTGAGGGGCTCATTCCCAGCATCAGGTCCAGCATGGCCTGGGAGTTGGAGATGGATATTTCTTATCAGCAGGTGGTGAGCATTGCTAGGAGAGTAGAGGGAATGCTTGCTCGGGATAGAAAGGAGAGGGAGGCCAAGTAGTCTCGAGAGTCGGGCCATTATTCTGGTTCCCGTGCTCCAGTTGTAGTTCATCATGGTAGGGGTTATATGAGTCGCCCCGTTCATTCAGCTCTTCCAACAGCCAGTGGTATTCTAGCTGCTCCTAGACCTCACGAGCCTTATTATATACATCTAGTATCTAGTGCGCCTCCTACGCAGGGTGCTTTCAGTGCTCAGTCCAGTAGACCTGGCTCGAGCCAGTCACAGCCGCCACGCCCTCCTAGAGCTTATTTTGAGTATGGCGACACACGTCATATGGTGAAAGATTGCCCTAGACTTAGGAGGGGTGCACCTCCACAGCCTTCTCAGCCACAGCATGCTCCACCAGGTCCTCAGGCTATGATTACAGTACCAGCTGCCACCCCACCTGCTCAGCCAGCCTGAGGTGGAGTTCGAGGTGGTAGGGGTCATCCTAGAGAGGGAGGTCAGGCCAGATATTATGCCCCCTGCCCATACTGAGGCTATCACCTCCGATTCTGTCATCACAGGTATTGTCCTGGTTTGTCATAGAGATGTATCTGTTCTATTCGTTCCAGGCTCCACTTATTCCTATGTGTCCTCTTATTTTGCCCCACATTTGGGCATATCTCGGGATTTCTTGAGTTCCCCTGTTTATGTTTCTACTCTTGTGGGAGATTCTCTTATTGTGGACCGCATTTATCAGTCGTGTTTGATTGTTCTTAGTGGTTTTGAGACCAGAGCCGATTTATTATTGCTCAGCATGGTAGATTTTGATGTTATCTTGGGCATGGACTAGTTGTCGCCCCATTATGCTATTCTTGATTGTCACGCCAAACCGTGACGCTAACTATGCTAGGTGTACCGCGAGTAGAGTGGAGGGGTACTTTAGATCATACTCCTAGTAAAGTTATTTCATTTCTTAAGGCTCAGCGAATGGTTGAGAAAGGGTATGATGCGTATCTAGCCTATGTGAGAGATGTCAGTATTGATACCCCTACAGTTGATTTAGTCTTAGTAGTGAGGGATTTTTCTGATGTGTTTCCAGCTGATCTTTGAATATGCCACCCAACAGAGATATTGATTTTGGCATTGATTTGTTGCTGGTCACTCAAACCATTTCTATTCCTCCTTACTGTATGGTTTATCCTGAGTTAAAGGAGAAGTTACAGGAATTGCTTTTTAAGGCTTCATTCGGCCCAGTGTGTCACCCTGGAGTGCTCCTATCCTGTTTGTGAAGAAAAGGGATGGTTCTATGCGTATATGCATCGATTATCGTTAGTTGAACAAAGTTACAGTGAAGAACCAATATCATTTGCCTCGTATTGATGACATGTTTGATCAGTTACAAGGTGCTCGAGTGTTTTCTAAGATTGACGTGCGTTCAGGTTATCATCAGTTGAAGATACAATGCTTCAGACTTTAAGAGAAAAGAAATTATATGCAAAGTTCTCAAAATGTGAGTTCTGGTTGGATTCTGTGGCGTTCTTGGGTCATGTAGTATCAAGTGAAGGGATTAAGGTGGATTCGAAGAAAGTGGAAGCAGCACAGAGTTGGCCCAGACCATCCTCAGCTATAAAGATCCGTAGTTTTCTTGGCTTAGCAGGTTACTATCATCACTTTTTTGAGGGATTTTCATCTATTGCAGCACCTACGACCAGGCTGACCCAGAAGTGTGCTCTATTTAGATGGATGGAAGAGTGTGAGGAGAGCTTTCAAAAGCTCAAGACAGCTTTGACGACAGCCCCAGTATTGATATTGCCTACAGGTTTGGGGTCTTATATTGTCTATTGTGATGCCTCGAGGATTGGCCTTAGAGCAGTATTAATGCAGGACGGTAGGGTGATTGCATACGCGTCCAGACAACTAAAGGTGCATGAGAAGAATTATCATGTCCACGATCTCGAGTTAGCTGTTATTGTTCACGCCTTGAAGAACTGGTGTCAATATCTGTATGATGTTCCTTATGAGATCTACACTGATCACTGGAGCTTGCAATATCTGTTCAAGCAGAAGGACCTTAATTTGCGTCAGAGGAGGTGGTTAGAGCTGCTTAAGTATTATGACATCATTATATTGTACTACTCGAGCAAGGCCAATGTAGTGGCCAGTGCTTTTAGTCACTAGGCGGAGAGTTTGGGGAGTTTGGCTTATTTACCAGTAGCAGAAAGGCATATGGCGATGGATGTTCAAGCCCTAGCCAGCCAGTTTGTGAGTTCGGATATTTCGGAGCCCAGTCGGGTTCTAGCTTGTGTGATTTCTCGGCCTTCCTTGTTCAATCGTATCCGAGAGCATCAGTATGATGACCCTCATTTGCTTGTCCTCAAGGACAAGGTCCTACATGGTGATGCCAGAGATGTGATCATTGGTGATGACGGGGTATTGAGGATGCAGGGTCGGATATGTGTACCCAATGTTGATGGGCTTCGGGAGTTGATCCTAGAGGAGGCCCACAGTTCGTGGTATTCCATCCATCCGGGTGCCGCGAAGATGTACCAGGATTTGAGGCAGCACTATTGGTGGAGGCAGATGAAGAAAGATATAGTTGAGTTTGTAGCTCGGTGCCTCAATTGTCAGCAGGTGAAGTATGAGCACCAGAAATCGGGTGCTTGCTTCAGCAGATAAAGATTCCAGAGTGGAAGTGGGAGCGAATCACCATGGACTTCGTAGATGGACTGTCACAGACTTTGAGAAAGTTTGATGCCATTTGGGTGATTGTGGATCGGCTGACCAAGTTCGCGCACTTCATTCCTGTGAGTACTACCTATTCTTCGGAGCGGTTGACAAAGATTTATATCTGAGAGATTGTTCGTTTGCATGGTATTCTAGTCTCCATCATTTTAGATAGAGGTACTCAGTTCACATCACGGTTATGGAGGGTCGTACAACATGAGTTGAGTACTCGGGTGGAGTTGAGCACATCATTTCACCCCTAGATGGACGGATAGTCCAAGTGCACTATTCAGATTCTTGAGGATATTCTCAGTGTGTGCGTGATGGAGTTTGGAGGTTCTTTCCACTGGCGGAGTTTGCCTAATTTAACAGTTATGAGTCCAACATTTAGATGGCACCGTATGAGGCTTTGTATGGTAGGCAGTGTAGATCCCCGGTAGGTTGGTTCGAGCCGGGCGAGGCTAGATTATTGGGCACAGACTTGGTTCAGGACACTTTGGAAAAGGTTAAGGTGATTCAGGATAGACTCCACACAGCCCAGTCCAGACAAAAGAGTTATACAGATCGAAAGGTTCGTGATGTTTCCTATATTGTTGGAGAGCGGGTCTTGCTTTGGGTTTCGCATATGAAGGGCGTTATGAGATTTGGGAAGAAGGGGAAATTGGGTCCAAGGTTTATTGGTCCTTTTGAGGTATTGCGACGTGTTGGGGAGGTTGCTTAACAGCTTGCCTTACTTCCCAGCTTGGCAGGAGTTCATCCGATATTTCATGTTTTGATGCTTCGGAGGTATCATGGTGATCTGTCGCACGTGTTGGATTTCAGTTGAGTCCAGTTGGGCAAGGATCTATCCTATGTCGAGGAGCTAGTGGCTACATTGGACAGGCATGTTCGAAAGCTGAGCTCAAAAAGCATTACATCAGTAAAGGTTTAGTGGCGGGGTCAGCCAGTCGAGGAGGCGACTTGGGAGACCGAGCTGGATATGCACAGCCGTTACCCTCATCTTTTCACCATGTCAGGTATGTCTCTATGCTTATTCAAGAACGAATGAATGTTTTAAGAGGGGGAGGATGTAACGATAGGGCCGGTCGTTTCGAGTGATAGAACCTCGATCCTCTATTAACTGCTTTCCCTGTGTTTGTTTCTGCTATTTTGATTTGACGGGATGATTCGTTTTAAGTTTTAGAGTGTTTTGTAATACTTAGTCCCTAAATGAGAGATTAAGCTTTAGAATTTGGACCGTAGTCAAAAAGGTGTGAAGATGGCCTCAGAATGGAATTCCGTCGATTTTGTTGGGTGATTTCAGGCTTAGGGGCGTATTCGGATTGTGTTTTGGAGGTCCGTAGCTTATTTAGGCTTGAAATGCCGAAAGTTAATTTTTTGAAGTTTTCGGATTGGGTTAGTGAGGTTTTGATATCGGGTTCGGAATCCGATTCCGAAAGTTGGAATAGTTCTGTAGTGTTGAATGTGACTTGTGTACAAAATTTGGGGTCATTCGGACATGGTTTGGTTGGTTTCGGCATCAGCTGTAGAATTCTTGAGATTTCAAGTTCCTTAGGCTTGGATTGGAAGGTGATTCGTGGTTTTAGCATTTTTTGATGTGATTTGAGAATTTGACTGAGTCCATATGATGTTTTAGTAATGGTTGGTATGTTTGGTTGAGGTCCCGGGGGCCTCAGGGTGAGTTTTAGATGCTTAACAGAATTGGATTTGGACTTAGGCAAATTTTCTGAACTTGTTGAACCTGTTGGTTTCACACCTGCGGAGCTTGGACCGCAGGTGAGACGCTACAGAAGCTGGTTGGAAACCGCAAATGCGGTCTAAGGTATAAGGGCAGTTGGTCACAGATGCGGCTCAAGGTCCGCAGAAGCGGAACCGCATCTGCGAGGTATGGAGCACAGGTGCGGAATCTGGTCCTTTAATGAAATTCTGCAGGTGCGGAGTATGAGCTGCAGGAGCGGGACCGCAGGTGCGATGGTCCCCTCGCAGAAGCGGAAATCGCTGGGCAGAAAGAGATAAATCGAGGGTTTGAATTCATAACTTCTAAAATTGATTTTGAGCTAGGGAGAAGGCGATTTCTTGAGAGATTTTGAAGGAAAGCTACTGGGTAACGAATTTTATCTCTAATTTGGTTCTAATACATTAACCTATTGTTATTTTCCTATTTAATCTAAGAATTTGAGTGGAAGAATGGGGATTTGGGAGAAAAGTTCCCCAACCATGTTTTTGGGTTTTGATTGGGTTTTAGTTGTCGGAATTGAGTCATTTTTGGACGAGTGGTCTCGTGAGTGAATGGGTGTCCTAAATTGGTAACTTTTACCTAATTCCGAGATGTGGGCCCAGAGAGGATTTTTGGGCGTTTTTCTAATTCCTCGTCGTAGCTTTGAATTCATTAGTTAAATTAGTTGCTTATAGTTTTTATTTATGTTATTGATTTGATTAGATTTGGGTCACTCAGAGTTGGATACTCGTCGCAAGAGCGTGATATCGGATTGATTTTTGAGCTGGTTCGAGGTAAGTGGCTTGCCTAACCTTGTGGGGGGAACTTCCCTTAAGATTTTGGTACTGTTGTTATATGAATGTTGTATACGTGACGTGACGAGTGCGTACATGTGCTAATTGTTGAAAACCCCCATTTTCATTAAGTAAATATCTATGTTTTCTTTTAACTGAGCAACACTAGTATATGAAGTCTCTTGTTTAGCTTAGGAAAGCATGCTTATGTGACTTAACGGTCTTACCTGCTTTAACTGCTTACTTGGATTTTTTGTGTAGCATGTTTAGAGTAGAAATTTCATGTTTTCCTGATACGAACTTGAATAAGACTGTAGGATTCTTTCTTGAGACTGTTGTGTATTTACTTTGGGACTACGGATCGGTATTCCGGGAGACCCCCTCCCTGTTTACTTTGGTACTATGGATCGGTATTCCAGGAGATTCCCTACACATTTATAATTAGGACTACGGGACGATATCCCGGGAGATCCCTCAGTACTGGATAATTACTTTGGAACTACATATCAGTATTCCGGGAGATGCCCCTACATATTTATGATTCGGACTACGAGGCGATATCCCGGGAGATCCTCTACACATTTACGTTTGAGACTACGGGACGCTACCCTAGGAGATCCCCTGTTGCTATCTCTGTGTATAGAGTTATTTCTTTCTGTGATTTCATCCTTATTGACTGTTAGCATTTAATTATACTGTCTCATTTCACATTATTTTACCTTGTTATATATATATAACCAGTAGGGTCCTGACCTGATTTCGCCACTACTCGACCGATTTCAGGATTGGCACTTACTGGGTACCACTATGGTGTACTCATGCCCTTTCCTGCACATGTTTTTCATGTGCAGATCCAGGTTCTTCTGCTCAGCCATACTATTCATGAGGCGAGGCGATTCAAAAACTTCAAGGTATATCTGCCGCGTCCTCATACCTAGAAGTTCCTCTCTATTCTCTCTTCAGTTATAAGTTTTTTCCCTGTATTTCCTTTGTCATTAGACTTATGGAATTAGAAACCTTATGTATTTTTCTGTAGCTTGTGATTTCATGAGATTTCGGGTTTTGGGGAGTGTTATTATTGGTCGAGAGTGCTATTATTATGTATGTCGAGCGGCATTTTAAACACTTTATCTATATTTACCTACTAGATGGCTAGTTTGTACTTTTAAATTCTTGTTTCCGCAAATTGTTAGGCTTACCTAGTCGTGGAGACTAGGTGTCATCATGACAGTTCACGGAGGGAGAACTTGGGTCATGGCAAATTGCGACCTTCGCATTTGCGAACCTGATGTCGCAAATGCGACATCAGATGCCTGGACACAACTTTTAAAAACAGGACTTAGGCCATTTATTTCATTTCACTTCTACACTTGGGCAATTTGGTATCTTCCAAAGAGGGAATTTCAACCTAGCATTGTGAGCTAAGTTATTTATACTTAGTGTGAGTTTAATACTTGGGTTGTGGGTAGATTAGCACATAAAGATTAGTAAAAATCATGGGATTAGATTAAAACCTAGAGTTTTGATAAAAACAAGATCTAACCACGAAATTTGTTATGGAATGGAGTAAAAATCATATATTCTTGATTCTTAGGTTATGGGTAACGACTTTCTTCAAATATTTCCGAAATCCGGGCGAGTGGGCCTTGGATGAATTTTAGAAACTTTGCATTTAGGGTTGGGAAGTTACTCTAATAGCTAGAATATGAACTATTGAGCTTGTATTGACTAGTTCTTACTCTGTTTGATTAGTTTTGGATCGTTCGGCTCCAAATTGAGGGTTTTGAGTATGTTCTTGAATTTGGAAGTAAGCTTTGGAGCAAGGTGAGTCTCCTTTCTAATCTCGTAGGAGGGAAATAAAACCCTAGGTGAATTAAATAAATGATTGTGACTATCCGTAGGGGCCACGTACGTACGTGGTGACGAGAGTCCGTGCATAGCTACTATTATATTAATTGTCCGGGTAGTTTAGGACCCGTATCATGCTATACATGCAAATGCTTACATTTTTGCTTGCCACTGAGATCGCTTAGGACATGCTAGGAATTGTAAATAAATATAAACGAATGTATGCACTTATTTGAGAACTTGTATGAAATTATTTGACTATAAATGAGCAATGTGTGCTTACTTTATAATAATTGCGAATTATGGATCGGGCCGATCGCCTAGGTATAAAAAGATGCATCTATGGTTCGCTCCATTCGACCCTCTGGCAGTGCACAGTTTAATATTATGTTGGACCGGACCGTACGACCTCAGCATAATGTACATATGTTATTTATGTGGAATTCATCCATGATTTACTCTGTTTAAAATGCTTTGAAATGTGAATTTCTATATGACACGATTGAAATTGATATATATATATATATATTGATTGTTTGTTTCTCCTTGTTCTGAGACGGTCATTATATTCATGTTATCTATGCTTAGCGTAAACCTTTAATATTATTGATATTGACCTTAGTAAGTATCAAGTCGACCCCTCGTCACTGCTTCTTCGAGGTTAGACTGGATACTTGCTGGGTACATGTTGTTTATGTACTCATACTATGTTTTTGTACTTAACATTACAGGATCTGAGGCAGGTGCATCTTGTTACCCGCCCGGTGCGCGTTCCTGATTCCTGATCGAGATCTCATGGTGAGCTCCCCCTTATGAGCCGTTCAACAGCATACCGGAGTTCTCTTCTTTTGGTGTCGTTATGTACTTTCTATTCTGTTTCGGGCAGTAGGATAGTGATCTTTTGTATATTCTACTAGTTGCCCTAGTACATGTGACACTAGTTCCTGGCACACACTGTAGACTATTATTTGGGGATGTATTTATGTTATTACAAACTTGTTAATTATCGACTGTTTAAAAGCTTAACTGTCAAGAAAATGTTGGGGATGTGTTGGCAAAATAATTAGAACTCACTAGTTGAATTAGGGTTGGCTTTCCTGACAACGATGTCGGGTGTCATCACGACCTATGATGGAATTTGGGCCGTGACAATGACAGTATATGACTAATTGAGAGGGTTTCTTTGTAATTTTGTTCAGATGTTTGCTTGGATAGATTTTTTTTTATTTTTAGATAGATTCAATGGTAAAAGTGAGTTCTTACATATACTTATGCAAAAGGTATTTTTGTTTATGAATTAGTCTATCCTTTTTGTCAAATTTAAAGTAAAAATGGACTAAGGTTTTAATGGTGTTCAAGGCAGCGTTGTCGCCAGGTTGCAAAGAATTTGATGTTTGGACCATTGATTCGTTGTAGATGAAGCGAATTCGGGCTTGAAGTAATTATGGGTCTCATTCTTTAAGCTAGTCCAATCTTTTCAAAATACATGTAGTTCGCCTATCGTTTATATTTTAATGGACATCAAATATTTTCAATCGCTAGAATGCTTTAGGCACTCTAATTAATGTAAATCATTGTGATTATGTATACGTTCGTGTAACATAATAGGAGCAGGTTTAGCGATCAGTAAGAAACTCCTCAATCAAGATGAATGAGACCTTTCATGGAAGTCTTTAGAAGGTTGCTCATCCAGCCCTGCAGATCCATTGTTTATGCGGCAGTGCAATGCAGCTGAAAAAATTACAACAACAACAACCCAGTATAATCTCACTAATGGGGTCTGGGAAGGGTAATAGGTACGCAGACCTTACCGCTACCCCGAGGGGCAGAGAGGCTGTTTCCAGGAGACCCTCGGCAACTGAAAAAATTACGATTTCCAAAATTCAACGAAGGTACGTGTTCGCGCGACTTTGGCCAAACAATCTTTAATAATTAATAAAGCATGATTAATTGTGTACACGTACGCGTGACATGATTTTAGCGCCCCAAATAAAATGGATTTACACACGTGTGATCCGTTTCAAAGATAAATCCATAAATCGCCATAACTAAAAACGGTAAAAATTAAACATACATAGGTTCTAAAAATGAGTAATTAAAATAATTTAATTAAGCCAGGTATGATTAAAGCGATCGTGCTAAAACTACAAAATCTGGGAATGCCTAACACCTTCTTCCGGATTAACACAATTCCTTACCCGGTCTTCTGGTTTCGCAAACTTTAAAATAGAGTCAAAATTTCTCGATTTGGAATTTAAAATAAACCGGTGACTTGGGATACCATAAATTATTCCAAGTTGTGACTCTAAATTAAATAAATAATTGAATTTTGAATAATATTACTTTAATTGGAAAAACTCCCGATCACCTCGGAAAAAAGGAGGTGTGACAGCTCTGGCAACTCTGCTGGGGACAAGAACCCAGAATCTCTGATTCAGGGTTAAGAATTTGAGCTTGTTAATTTAATATGTACTTGGCTTTATTGTTTGTTAAAATTACTGTATTTGTGAGCTTAATGTGCTAATTGCCGCTAATTTACCGCTTTGATATTATTTGAACTGTATTAAACTGTCTTCTTACGCCTCCCTTCTATTTCTTCTAAAAATATGGTGCACATTTTTCTGTTAGAGGCCGTACCAAATAGAATGAGGCTAGATCAACGACTAGGCTGGATAGACTTTCGTGCTCCCGGTACATTGCCCTCACCTTGGCTCGAGCTGTCTGTTCGGTTAAGTTATGTCTAGAACACACCCCCAGCTTTAAACCTAGAATAACATAGCCACATGTCAGATCCCTACTAGAAACGTTTGTTTGCATCATGTGCATTTGACTTTGAGGACTCAACATAGGAGTAGGGTCCATCTAGGACAGGTGTACCTGAAATAAAAGACCATCATGATGCATCTTACGTGTTATTTGTACATTTATTTGCTCGGGCTTGCCTGTTGATAGGTTAGGAAAAGAAAATCAAGAGTAAAACTAAGAGTGAGGTAGAAGAGAAATTAGCCCGGTTCTGAAAACCCCGGTATTTGGAAAATGTGCCGAAACTCTGCCGAAATATTTCAAAAAATATGATGATAAAAAATTGAATAAAAAAGTCTTTTCAAAATGAGTCAATATCATATTTTCCCGATTATGTCAAAATTAACCGAACTACGCGGGTCTGATTCTCACCGAATTTGAGATACGCAGACAGACCTCATCGATTCTGGCCTCAATTTTTAAAAATTCAAAAATATTTTTTAATTCATTCTTTAGGAGTCTTTTCTTAGAAAACCCCCAAACAAATAAACATATATATAAAAAAATTTAAACCTTAAAATACTTTCTTTGTAGAAGCCTTTCATTCGAAAAAAAAGGAAAGAAAAAAAATCAGTCAAAATCCAAAAAAAAAATTCTACCTTTTTAAAAGTCTTTTTCCCAAAAAATCAAAAATTCAAAAATAAAAAAAATATTTATTTTTTTCTTTAGAAGTCTTTCTTTCGAAAATAAAAGAAAAATCGATTAAAACTAAAAATCCAAAAATATTTTCTTTCTTCTTTTAAAGCCTTTCTTTCGAAAATTCAAAACAAAATATGAAATTCAAAAAAATGTTTTTCTTTTTCTAAAAGCTTTCATGGTCTGAGTTTTATAAAAAGTAAATAAAGAAAAAAAAGAGTTTGTTTTATTTACTCTGTTCCCGGTATTCCTGAACTATGTAATGATCTGATTCATGCAGCGTCATGATACGTCGGCAATCCCTATCGGATTTGATCATAGCCTTAAAATAAATTGAGTGAAAAATAAACCGAAAAAAAGGAAGAGAGAAAAATTGAGTGAAAGAGAAAAAAAAGAGCGAAAATAAAATTAAAAATAAAAGAGTGACAAAAACAAAAAAAAAAAAGAGAATGCCAAAAATAAAAGACTGACAGTAACAAAATGAGAAAGTCAAGAGTGATTAAAGAGAGGCAGAAATGAAAACAAAAGAGGTACAGAGTGAAAAAGGGTTAGTTAAGGCCGTGATGAAACATGCAACCATTCAAACACATAGTAGAATCGTTTAATTGTTTAGTTGTATTGCATCCTAACGTGCGATTTCTTATCTGTTAAGCGTCTCAAAACTAACAAGGTTGTTGGGTGTGCAAATTAGCCACCTTCTGTTCAGGTGGATGGTTTTGTTGGTAATCTAGCTTCCCTTCCTTACTTCACAAGATCCAAAGGAAAGGTTCTTACGGCCTCCGAAAGTCATTACCAATTATCGATCCTGAGCATAACCCAGCACCGGCTATTCCACAACCAGAATCAGCAGTTGCTAAAGAGAATAGGATGTTGTGTATTTACATATTGGAAATGTGGGACGCCTGGTCTAATGGTAGGTAACTACCAATTGCAATCCCTGGGTTCCCTGAGTTGATCCCGAGATTAGGTAGGGATGTCAACGTCCCTATGTACAGCCTGTTTACCTCATGCGGGTTCCCTCCAATGTCATTTAACGGTCCCAGAATGCCTTTTGTGGTTTGCCCCCAGGCGTCGGCTTCAAAGGCACTGCCAGCAATGTTCTCTATAGCACCAGTCTGCACCACAGCACAACCAACTTTACCACGACCGTATGTTGAGCCTCCAATGTTCACCTTTCAAGGTCCACGGTTTCAACCAAAAATAATATATGCAACCCCATACTCCTTTACTCAACCTCCCAATATGATTTCTCGATTAAGCAAGAAAAGGTTGTCAATAATCCCGAGCAATAGTAAATGTCTCGGAAGATGAAAAGCCTGGAACAAAGCCTGAAAAACATTCAAGGTCTGAGTGGCCAGAAGAGTGTCTCTTACTCCGACCTGTGTATGTTTCCCCATGTTCACTTGCCGGCTAGTTTCAAAATGCCAAAATTTGAAAAGTACGACGAGCACGGAAACCCGATCGCTCATCTGAAATGATACTATAACCAGCTGAGGGGTGCTGGTGGAAAAGAGGAGCTGCTAATGGCCTATTTTGGAGAAAGCCTCACCGGAATTGCTTTCGAGTGGTATATGGATCAAGAAATTACCCATTGGCATGTGTGGGATGATCTGGCCCGAGATTTTGTTTGCTAGTTCAAGTATAGTGTCGACATCGCTCTCGACAGGAACTCTTTGTCCAATTTGAAAAAGAAAACCACAAAAAACTTCCACGAATATGCGGTCAAATGGCGTGATCAAGCTACCAGGGTAAAGCTTCCAATGGACGAAGTACCAATGGTTGCAGTCTTTCTACAGGCCCAAGAGGCAGACTACTTCTAGAACATGATGTCCGCTATGGGTAAGTCGTTCGCTGAGGCTATCAAAATTGGGGAAATGGTTGAAAAGGGTTTAAAAACAGGTTGAATCTTAGGTCATACTACTTTTAAGGCCACAACATAGGCTGCTTAGAATAGTTCGGAGGATTTGATGACCAGAAATGGGAGTGAAGAGGGAACATGATGGCTTCGAGCTCAAGGGGGGCCCTCAGATCATTCAGCCAATCATATGTGCTTCCTAAGGTCCCACAACACTATTATCCATATCAATTGCTTCTTATGCCGTGGCACCGCCTCCCTATACGGTGATGAACGAGCAACCTTACACACGACCATAACATTATACACAAAACTAAGATCTACCTCCTAGAAATGCCCATCCTTACCAAGCTCCATATAATCCCCAATCAAATGTTCCCCAATACAATCCTCGCCCAAGTGAGAACCTCAGAAGGAATCAGTTCACCCCTATTGGAGAATCGTATTCAAGCTTGTTCCAAAAGCTAATCAGGCTAGATTTGCTGTAGCCAGTGGCCCCGAACCGGCCGAACCCCGAGTCCCCCTCGCACCGAGCTGATACTAGATGTGAATACCACTCTGGAGCAGTGGGACATGATATTGAAGTCTGTTGGACTCTTAAAAGAGCAGTGGAAGACCTCATCGAGGTCCAGACAATAGTACTTAGGATGAAGAGGACCCTAATATGATGAACAATCCTCTGCCTACTCACACCAATGGGCCAGTAGTCGGAATGATTTATGAAGATGAGGAATTTGATCCGGCACTGAAGGCCATACAACCATTGTCGAGATAGAAGAAAAGCCAAAAAACGGTCGCCAAGCCTAAAAGTTTCCCATCAGACAGGAGTCTCGGTAGCCAATCTTACTATCATTTCTGCGTCCAAATTATCTCAGGGTGTGATCCGGATGTTTTACTTTATTGTC